ACACAGGAGGTAGTGTGAATGAATCTGGCCGCAATCGCGTCCAGAGATTGTATCACTCTGCCTACTGTGTGCTTCTAGAGAGAAGAAGGCGATAACAAAGAGAAGGAAGTCGCACACAGAGGGTCTGTCACGGGGTCGCACAGAGGGGAGGAGTTGCGCAGAGGGTCTGTGACAGAGCCGCACACAGTAGGCAGTGTGATACAAGGAGGAGGCAGTTACAGGGAACTGGCACACATAGTTGGACCCACACAGCCAGCAGTTAAGCGGAGGAGGCAGCGCCAGGCAGGGAGTGCAATTGTCCAGAGGAGATAGTTACATAGAGGCAGATTGATTCATACTAAGGGGTCGTCACACGAAGGGTCTGTAAAAGACAGAGGAAGCAGTGGCGCAGAGAGTCGGGCCGGAGGGTGTAGATACTAAGGGCATACTCACACTAGGACTTGGGTCTGACTGGAATTACGGCCGGGATGCATCTGACTGTAATTACGCCGAAAGCTTAGTAGGGAAGGTCCTCGTGTGAGTATGCCCTAAGTGTAGCTAAAGGGATTTCGGAGTCGCATAGCAAGTAGGGGAAAAGCATAGCAGGTCGAATTGGACTTGGAGGATCACGCAGAGTCTCAGATAGTGGCATAGTCACACAGACTCGAGCTTACAGACAGACAATCGGAAAGTGGCAGAGAGGCGCACAGAGCAACACACTGTTGCCAACAGCCTGTACTGCGTCGGTGTTAGAGTGCCGCACGAAATAGTGAAGCTGCATGAAGTAGGGAAACGCCGCACAGAGTCGCACAGACTCGCACAGATTAACAGAGTCGTATATAGCAGGAGTACACACACACACACACACACACACACACACACACACACACACAGAGTTGCAGAGAGTCGCACAGACCCGCACAGACCTGTACAGAGTAACAGAGTCGCATAACTAGCGTGGAATCGCACACAGCAGCACGTAATCGCGCTGACGTCGAACGAAGGCGCACAGGTCGCACAAGGTAACGCAGAGCCGACACGCAACAAGAAGTGGGAGGGTAACTGTCAGAGTGGAGATCGCACAGTGCCGCACAATGTCGCGCTCGCTCAAGGTAACGCAGAGCCGACACGTAGTAACAAGAAGTGGGAGGGTAAGTGTGAGAGTGGAGATCGCACAATGTCGCACGCCCATAGGCAGGTGACCTACACACATGGCGCCGGCAAATTTTTGAAGTTTGGGGCGTTTTGGGGGTATGAGGGCAGGCTTTGGTAGGTTGGGTGCTTATAGGTGGGTACCATGTGAGTGTTTCCTCAGTCGCACAACGTCGCACAAGGGCGCTTAAGGGCGCTCATACGTAAAGAGAATCTCATAAAATCTCTCAGAATCTGTTTGTCATATGAAAGTGAACGGCCAAGATCTGCCACTCCTGCAACTGTCAATGGCACGGGGATAGCCGCCACTTGATGCCGCACAATTGCCGCTCAATGACATGTCTCACGGACATGTGGCAGTGCCAAATGTGTCCCACAAGTGTGGCACATGTCACGCGCAGACAAATCGTCGTTAAATTATAAAACAGAATGTGGATGACCGTCTGAAATCGAACTCCGTGGTCTCATCAACCGCACAGAGAGTGTTGGACTACCGTCTTCCCCTGAAAACAACGTACGGTCATTATAGCTGTATTTGAGGCATCTTTCAGTCTAGATATAGCTACAATGACCGTACGTTGTATTCGGGGGAAGAAGGTAGATATGGTTAATTGAAGTTAATTCCAGTTCCGAAAAGAAAAGGAAAGAAGACAAAAGTCCATTGGCCTGGATGGATGGTACACACATCTAACTGTTTTATTAAACAGCGCACGAGTTCGACTCCTGCTGGAAACAGAACACTTAGTCAAAATCATGTGCTTTGAATTTACTGTATTAAACTGGAAAATTTTTCTCCTTTTTTTTTTTTTTTTTTTTTTTTTTCAAATCTTTGGTTCAACACAATCATTCAACACCACACAATAAAGGCATAGCACACGGCGTATTCAATCTTCAGTTTTCTCGTTTTGGGGTGCCCCACACCTAGTTTTCTGCACCGCACCCTTCCGCACGCCACAGGGGGCTCGCTCCACTACTCACCAAATGTCCAGAATGAGAATGAAATTCCATTTTTTAGAAAGTGCATCAATCACACTCAGGCAAACCATAAGCCCGTCCGACATACTTGCTCTCTGTTATTATTATATTTTTATCTTTCTATTTGTGAATTATTATTCAATTATGATATTGTTTAAGTATTTCAAATGATTAATTTATTATCCACGGTCCCACTGTCCGTCCTCCCCTGAGTAATGGGGTGCGGCAATCCTAATGTCGTTTACTATTTAGGCGAAACAATCAGGCAAAGGATTGCATCTTATTGTTTTTTCGTTCCTTGTAGCCGGACGTGCTCTGTTGATCACTACCGTAGGTCAACCGGACATCGGCGGTCGGACTGGCTGCACGGCAATCCCGTTGTAGGGATCTCAACTATGGTTCTAATCAGGGTTACCTGACCGAACATTCGGGGACCCCTGGGCTGGCCCCCGAACATTCGGGCGTTCGGGGTCCCGTTCGGGGGCCGAACCTGGGCCCGAACACCTCCAGGTTCGGCCCCCGCCAAAAAATATTTCGGGGCCTAAAAATAAGTTTTCTGATTTTTTTTTTGGGAGTTCTCTATGATGTAACGTACACGCCTATAAATTTTGAAGCCATTCTGCTAAGCCAAAAAAACATTAAAAAGTCGTCGAAGATGGGGGTGTCAAAACGTGCTCGCCCACTCACTATTTTTGTTTTTTTTCACTTAACTTTTTGTTTTCACTTTATTTCGGGGCTAAAAATTTTTATTATTTTTTGAAAAATTTTTACTGAGTTATTGATTATGCAAACTACATATCTGTAAATTTTCAGGGCATTTGTCAATGCCAAAAAATAATTAAAAATCGGCAAAGATGGCCGTGTTGAAAAGGTGCTGGCACACTCACTCATTTTAATTCTCTTTTTATTTTTGGGAAAATTTTCGAAATGCCCCTGAAGTTTGTGTTTATTTGCGATTCGCCCCTCGGACGGCCGACTTACCCTGATTTGCCCCTGGGGCCTCTGAACTTTCGAAAAGGCCCCTGTCAGTGAGGGGCACAACTTTTCGGAATGCCCCTACCGATAGGCCGGTCCCATTTACCGTGCTGGCTGTCCATTTTGCCCTTCTGCATTGGATGGATCTTCCTGGGATGCCCTCCAGCGGGGAGGCCCTAAGAATTCGAATTCAAACTCCTTGATTTTCCGGGCCTCCCCGCAAAGAAACAGGGCTCCACTCCACGTTGTGTCCACTGGTTCAATTCACCACGGAGTTCATTCTTCTGGTACTGCGACCTGCTGCCGCCTTCGACATCCTCGGAGAACGTTGCCAGTGTTCCTCCCCTTCTTCCACGCCTCTCTCTCTCTCTCTCTGTGTGTGTGTGTG